ATGTTCGTAGCCATGTAAAGGAAGCAACATGTACAAATTAACCAAAATTGTATGATGAAATAAACAGTAAAACCTTTCAAAATTGCACACAAACGTTGAAAATTAAAGGAATGTTCCTGTGGTTTTAGAGGATGTCAACAGGTACAGATACACCGTACAGCAGGGATCTACTAACCCATCATTGCTTTCCATGGCAGCCAAGCCTAGTTAAAAGAGTATGTGTTAACTCATTTTAATGAACATACATAAGTATTTGCATTTCGCAAGTGCTGGTGTGTGTTTATGAATTTTCGCTGGTTGATAATTATAAGCCCTATTCAACACTTTTAGCTGTAAACAAATTAAGCCAACTGATGCAAAACTAATTGTGGCATCGGTTAGGATCACAGATGAACATTTACACTTACACATGCAACACTGGCACAAGTAAATTGTATACAAAATTGCAACTAATTTAAAATGAGATTAAGTAGTGACATATATATAATTTTATTTTAATTATATTAAAGTGGAACAAAACCAAAAGTGTATTAGATGAAATCCATTTAGTTAAGGAAATTGCTAAATTAGGAAAATGTTACAATTAAATAAACATCAATGATGAGAGGATGTCATGAAGTAACTAACATGGTTATGGGATAATAATGTTAATTAATTTCTTTAGGAAATAGGCCATTTATTAGAGAAGATCTCTTAATCGGTTCAGAATCACTTCCTGAGTCGACTAAGCTATGTCCGTCTGTCCATCCGTCTGTCTGTGTATCCATGTAAACCTTGTGCGCGCGCTACAGATCGCAATTCTTAAAATAATTAGACGAAATTCCTTCTGTTCCAAGGATAAAAGCTATTGACAATGGTTGAAATCGGTCAAGTATTTCGCCTATGGCCCATACAACCAAACCCCTGAATAGAGCTTTCGACCTCATAATTTTGTTAAATGTTCTAGTATTTCAAAAAAAAATGAACAAGTAACACTGTGCCGAATCTTATATACCCAACATCAAAGCTTGTGCTTTACCGATTTATTAGATATTCATATATATATACCCACCATCAAACCGTATACGCAAAAGGAATGCACCCCTGTAAACATCAGGGTGATATTTTGAATATGGCTTAAGCTCTTTTGAACTAACAAAACATTAATTTTTAAAAACAAAATATTTTTGTTCAATTTTTAAACCGAGTGCGTATGAGTAATTTTCTAAAGAGGACCTTTATATGCGTCAATTATGAACCGATACTCATAAAATTTTGTACATACATTTCGTTTTGTATAGAACTTGTTTATGCCAAATTTCATTGCAATACTCGTATCTTAAATAAGGAGAACTCGTATTTTAATAACTTTCCTGAATGGAACGTTTTATAGGGGCTAGGGTCAGTTATAGATCAGTCCTCATTAAATTCGGAATGAAGAATTATGTTCCTAAGTATAAAGTTTTTTATGTCGATTTTCATCGCTGTACTAGTAATTTTCTGAATTTTCTTCATCAAATTTTCTAAAGATGATCTTATATGAGGGGTATGGTAAATTATTGACCTATCCTCATAACTTTTTGTAGACCGATTGTGGTTCATATAAAACTTGTTTACATTGAATATCATCTCTGTAATTTAATGTAATTTTCTAAAGGGGGCTTTTATTGGGGGGGATGGTGTGGTAGGGTAAATTACCGACACATTCCGCATGGAATTCGGTAGAGAATTTCATAACCGTATTTTATAACTCAAATTTTTAGCCAGTAATGATCGTTTAAGTAATTTTCTGAAGGGAACCTTATATGGGGGGTGGGGTCAATTATGGACCGATCCACATTTTAGAGTGATTTTGGCTCGCGAGGAACTTACGTACTTATATCACATTTTATCGCTAAACTCGTATTTTTTAACCAGTAATGAGCGTTAAAGTAATTTTCTGAAGGGGACCTTATATGCGGGAAGGGTCATTTATGGGCCGATCCTAAAAGAAATTGGTAAAGAGGTTTTGGTTCATAAGAAACTTACTTATACCGAATTTCATCGCTATTCTCGAATTTTTAGGCCAGCAATGAGTATTAAAGTAATTTTCTGAAGGGGACCTTATATGAGGGGTAGGGTCATTTATGGGCTGATCCTACAAAAAAGAATTGGTAGAGAGGATTTTGTTCGTAAGAAACTTATTTATACCGAATTTCATCGCTATACTCGCATTTTTTTAGCCAGCAATGAACGTTAAGGTCATTTTCAAAAGTAAGGACCTTATATGGGGGTAGGTTCATTTATGTTCCGATGCTTAAACATTTTAGTCGAAAGATTTTGGCTCATATGAAACTTATTTATGTCGAATTTAATCGCTATACTCGTACTTCTAAATCAGTTATGCCCGTTAAAGCTGTTTTTTGGAGGTCCACTTGTATGGGGGCTATCCGAAAAACTGGACCGATATTGCCCATTTTCAATACCAAACAAACCTTAGCAATAGAGAATATTTATGAAAAATTTCAACTGTCTAGCTCCTCCCGTGTGGATCGTGAATTCAACAGACAGACGGACGGACGTGGCTAGAACGTCTAAAAATTTAATAAGGACCCAGAATATATATACTTTTATGGGTTTATGAGCAAAATTTCGATGTGTTACAAACGGAATCACAAAATCAATATACCCCCCATCTTTTTTAATGGTGGGTATAAAAACCATAGTCTTAGATAAGTATAAATAATACTGTGAATTTTCATTATGATCGGGCGTCATTTGACCATAGCCCCCATAGAAAGTCCCCATCAGAAAATAACTTTAATGTCCATAATTAAGTTATAAATACTAGTATCATGATGAAATTTGCCACAAATTAGTTTTAAGCATAGTCCTGACAATATATGTTATAAGCCCCCCATATTTGCTACTATTCTCCCATATAAAACATTTTCAGATAATTTGTTTCTGTCAATAAATTATTTAAATAAATCGGAACCAAGCCAATATTTAAGACAAGTAAGAAGTTATAGTCGGGCGAGGCCGACCATATAATACCCTACACCTTTGACAAAAATATAATGTGATTTAGTTGCCATAATAAAGCATTTAAGTTGAATTGTACCTTACCTTAGATATACATACTTAAGCCGTTTATTGTTGAATAAAATTGTGGACATTTAAGTGAAATTTTGATGGGGGCTTTTCATAGGGGCTAGGGTCATATGAGAACCTATTGTTATGGAATTCATGGGGGTCATCAAGTCTTGTATACAACTTGGTTTTTGCAGCTTTTTGTCGAGATATGAGTATATTAAACATAATTATGAACTTAAAAGCCCTATTCGGCGGGTTCAGTTGTATGGGGGCTAGGTGAAATAATGGACCGATGTAAACCATTTTCAACAGGCTTCGTTTACGGTATCATAAAAGATCATGTGCCAAATTTCATTGAATTATCTCCAAAATTGCGACCTGTAGTTTGATTACAAGTTTTAAAAGCCCTATTCGGGGGTTCAGTTGTATGGGCGCTAGGTGAAATAATGGACCGATGGTAACCATTTTCAATAGGCTTCGTCTACGGTACCATAAAAGATCATGTGCCAAATTTCATTGAATTATCTCCAAAATTGCTACCTGTAGTTTGATTACAAGTTTTAAAAGCCCTATTCGAGGGGTACAGTTGTATGGGGGCTAGGTGAAATAAAGGACCGATGTAAACCATTTTCAACAGGCTTCATCTACGGTACCATAAAAGATCATGTGCCTAATTTCATTGAATTATCTCTAAGATTGCGACCTGTAGTTTGGTTACAAGGATTACAAGCCCTATTGGGGGGTTCAGTTGTATGGGGGCTAGGTGAAATAATGAACCGATCTTAACCATTTTCAATAGGCTTCGTCCCTGGGACAATATAAGATCATGTACCAAATTTCATTGAATTATCTTCAAAATTGCGACCTGCAATTTGATTACAAGGTTTACATGGACGGACGGACAGACGGACGGACATAGCTAAATCGACTCAGAAAATGATTCTGAGCCGATTGGTATACTTTAAGGTGGGTATAGGACCAATATTATTGTGCGTTACAAACATCAGCACAAACCCAATATACCCTCCCCACTAAAGTGGTGTAGGGTATAATAAATGATTTATAACGAAAATAAATAAATTAAATAAATTATGATTAAATAAAAAAATTATAAATTATGTTTAAATTCCTTAAAAAACTTAAAATCGGTTAATATTCAACAAAGTTACATTCTTATAAGAAATTACAGGTAAATTGTTTTTACCCGTTACTCAAGACTTTTTGTCGCATAGTGTAATATAACATATACATTCTTATGGCAATACATTTAAACAACTAAATCTCTTGCTTGATTTCCTCTAAATCAGTATTTCTCTTTTTGAACAAAAAACAAGTAAGAAAGTATAGTCGGGCGCGACCGACCATACATTTAAGCAATTTATGGATGAAAAACTAATTTTCTGAAAGAGGCTTTATAGAGGGGCTAGGGGCAAGTATGGACCAAGCCCGATAAAGTTTTGTGAATATATTTATATTTATTTGTGCTGAATTTTATCGCGATATTTGTGTTTATAAGTTAATTTTGGACATTCAAGTAATTTTCGGAAGGGGACTTTGTATGGGAGCTGGGGTCAAATGTATGGGGGCTAGGTGAAATAATAGACCGGTTTTAACCATTTTCAATAGGCTTCGTCACAAAATTCATCCATGCCAAATTTCATCCAATTATCTTGAAAATTGCGACCTCTACCTTGCGCACAAGGTTTACATGGACAGCCAGCCAGCCAGCCGGCCAGACGGGTGGACGGACATAGATAAATCGACTCAGAAAACGATTCTAAGCCGATTGGTATGCTTTAAGGTGGGTATAGGACGAATATTTTTGTATGTTACAAACATCAGCACAAACCCAATATACCCTCCCCACTAAAGTGGTGTAGGGTATAAAAACTGATAAGAAATGTATTTACTCATAAATACAACAGATCAAGAAAATAAACAGTAACGCAACAGATCCCGACAAATTAAGATGCAGCTTCAAATTCAGACAAACATTTTTACTTTAACGATTACTTTCTTATTATTGTTCACCAATTTTCAAAGAACAAATGGCGATGATGATCAAATTGTGTTTGAATCAACATTTAATGGTGTGATCAGTGAAATGAATTTATTAAAAAGTAAAATAATTAGCGCTAATTTTGAACTAGAATCATTGCACAATAAGTAGGTACTTACATGTATATATATATATATATATATATACGTTTCAAAAACAATTCTTTTTATAAAAATTTTCCATGATTTTCACAACAGATTACATTTGCAAACAGATTTGGTTAATATGATCAGAACTGGAATTGATCACAAGAGCGTTAAGGAAGATCATTGTGATGAAAGTGAACTTTTCGATGAACTTGATAATAAATTGCATAAAATAAAACAAAACTTTCACAAAGTCATCAATAATAATGATGACAAACATTTAGATAAAATGGATTCCATACTACAGAAAGTAAAAGCCAGCAATGGCTGCCATGAAAACGAAGACACAGCACAGTTGCAAGAAATTAAAAAGCAAATATTGGAGAAATTGCAAAAATTCAATCAATATGTTGAACGGTTAGAACTCATGGAAAAGAGATTTGAACAATTTGATAAGGCAGATGAAAATGATACATCGATTATGACTTATACTAATACACCCGATTTGGACAATATTATTAATCAAATAAACACTAAGCTATTGTCACAAGAGCAAACATTGCTACAATTTGATGAACATTTAAATGAAATGAAAAATATTTCATCAACAGTAGAATCGCACTTAAAAGCTAGGAAAGAAAAATCAAAAGGAAGATGTGCGAAAGGAAAATGTGTGCTATATAAATTAATTGAAATGGACAAATCATTAAATATAACAAAACATGTATAATTATGTACACATGTAAATGTAATTTTAAAAAAATATATATTTTTTTATCAATAATATTATTTCAACAATGGGTTTGTCATAGGTTAGGTTAGGTTGATAAGAGGATGTATAGTACATCAAATCAAAAGAAATACACCTAGGCCACTGTTGTTTGCTCCTTTTCATGAAAAAAAAATTGTTCACTGAGTATATTATTTTTCAGTTTCCTGGACGTAATTCCTAAGAATTTTCCAATCAGTGTTAGTCAGGAAAGTTATTTCCAGAATAACATCACTTCCAAGATACTTGGATCTAACTTCGACGAATGCTTGACAGTGGCAAAGAAAGTACTCCAGAGTTTCACTGTTCTCTCCACATGCTCTACATTCGTCTGAATCCGCACGGCCAATTTTGTATAGATGTGCTCGTAATCCTGTATGTCCACTCAGAATACGTACCATCATAATAACTTCAGACTTGCTCATATTGAGGAGATTTCTCGTCTTATTCTCGTCAGGGTCATCCCATAGGATTTTTGTGGTTCTACCAACCGTTTCATTATTCCAAGAGGCATTACCATCAAAAAAGATGGGGGTATATTGATTTTGTCATTCCGTGTGTAACACATTGAAATATTGTTTACAAACCCCATAAAGTATATATATTCTGGGACCTCGAAAGATTCTAAGACGGTCTAGCTATGTCCGCCCGTCTGTCCGTCTGTCTGTTGTTGGCACGATAGCGTCCACAAAAAAAGAGATATTGAGATGAAATTTCCCTAAAATATTATTATTGATCAGAAATATTTGGTATTGAAAATGGGCAAAATCGGTCAACGATTTCACATAGCCCCCATCCAAATGTACCCCCGGAATATTGTATAAAGAGTTTCAAATATTCACAAATTCGTTGTTTATGAAGCAAATGCCACAAAATTTTGAACAAGTCAGTTTTTTGACTTCTGAAATAAAATTCTGAATTATGGCGGACATATGACCATAATTGGCCCTACCCCCCTATAAGGTCCCCTCCATAAAATTACTTTAACGCTCATTACTGGCTTAAAAATACGAATATAGCGATAAGACACATAAGTTTCATGCGATCCAATATCTCTCCACCAAATATTATGTGCATCGGTCTATAATTGACCCTACCCCCCATATAAGGTCCCCTTCAGAAAATGACTTTAACGCTCATTAGAAATTTTACTTAAGTTAGTACCTTAGGTGCCAAAACTTTTCCACCAAATTTTATGTGGATCGGTGTATAATTGACCCTACCCCCCTATATAAGGTCCCCTCCATAAAATTACTTTAACGCTCATTACTGGCTTAAAAATACGAGTATAGCAATGAAATTTCATAGAAGTATGTTTTATACGAGCCAAAATCTCTCTACCAAATTTTACGTGGATCGGTCCAAAATTGACCCTACCCCCCATAGAAGGTCCCCTTCAGAAAATGACTTTAACGCTCATTATTGGCGTAAAAATACGACTATAGCGAAGAAATTTGACATAAGTATCTTAGGAGCCAAAACGTTTTCACCAAATTTTATGTGGATCGGTCCATAATTAACCCTACCCCCATATAAGGTCCCCTCCATAAAATTACTTTAACGCTCATTACTGGCTTAAAAATACGTGTACAGCGATAAAATTTTACAGATGTAAGTTTTATACGAGCCAAAATCTCTCTACCAAATTTTATGTGGATCGGTCTATAAATGATCCTACCCCCATATAAGGTCCAATTTAGAAAATTAGGGCCCATTACTAACTTAACAAGCAAGACTGTTATATTCGGCTATGCCGAATCTTATATACCCACCATCAAATCACTGTCATATAAATAAACTTGTGGGTGTATAAGATTCGGCATAGCCGAATAAAACATTCTTACTTGTTAATTCAGCATTTGTTGCTTCGAATGGTTTTGCGTTCGTCAGGTTAACTACCTCGAGCTCCCTTCCCTTTAAAGCAATTACATTCGCCCTTTCGTTGCCGACTACTGCCGAGTGGCCTGGTACCCATAAGATATAAACCTTAACTCTGGGAGAGTATTCAGTTAAAGCTTTCTTACAATACAATACGGTCTTAGACTTAATTCTATCACCTGATATCGCCCTAATTGCCTTCTGGCTGTTGGTGAATATATTAAGGGCCGTTATTGCTCGGACTTCGGCGTGGAAGCTTGTGTTATGATTAGGTAAACGGTGGTATATTTCTGTTTCTGGGTTTTCGATATAGAACCCCAGACCCACTTTATTCCACAATTTAGAGCCATCCTTATAACAACGGATTCCTACTGGTATTTGCTCTAGTTTTCCGCTTGACCAAAACATTCTATCTAGAGCTGCGGTGAGTTCAAAGTTCCGACATATTCTGTGTCTGTTATGCGATCACGCACGTCATGGGTTTGTCATACCATAATCGATGATTAGGGATTAGCTTAAAATGATTCCTTTCGATTCCTGAATAAGGAGTCCTATGGGCCATCTAGCCTAGATAGAGATATGATTACATTTAGAACATGGATTTTTCTTAGACTGAATACTGGATATTATAAACTGATATTAAACTGAGATTAAACTTAATCTGACTAATAACGAATGAATAGAATGTAGAACTTGAACAACTTTAGAACTGAATAGACTGAACAACCTAGAACTCAACAGAACTGACATAGAAACTGAACTAGAATGAACTAGAACTGAACTAGAACTGAACTAGAACTGAACTAGAACTGAACTAGAACTGAACTAGAACTGAACTAGAACTGAACTAGAACTGAACTAGAACTGAACTAGAACTGAACTAGAACTGAACTAGAACTGAACTAGAACTGAACTAGAACTGAACTAGAACTGAACTAGAACTGAACTAGAACTGAACTAGAACTGAACTAGAACTGAACTAGAACTGAACTAGAACTGAACTAGAACTGAACTAGAACTGAACTAGAACTGAACTAGAACTGAACTAGAACTGAACTAGAACTGAACTAGAACTGAACTAGAACTGAACTAGAACTGAACTAGAACTGAACTAGAACTGAACTAGAACTGAACTAGAACTGAACTAGAACTGAACTAGAACTGAACTAGAACTGAACTAGAACTGAACTAGAACTGAACTAGAACTGAACTAGAACTGAACTAGAACTGAACTAGAACTGAACTAGAACTGAACTAGAACTGAACTAGAACTGAACTAGAACTGAACTAGAAACTGAACTAGAACTGAACTAGAACTGAACTAGAACTGAACTAGAACTGAACTAGAACTGAACTAGAACTGAACTAGAACTGAACTAGAACTGAACTAGAACTGAACTAGAACTGAACTAGAACTGAACTGGAACTGAACTAGAACTGAACTAGAACTGAACTGGAACTGAACTAGAATTGAACCGATCTTGTTTATTCCTGTTATACGATAAACAAACTGATGAGTCTTAGGTCATTATTATGATATTTACGAAATAAATATATCTTTTTTAGCGGTGGGTATAAAAAATTAAGTCAATCGCAGAACTTAGCTTAATACCAAGGAATTCTAAATAAAGTCAAGCTTTGTGCTCAATAATTGTTCGTTACATACTCTCTTGCTCTCAGTGATAATATATTTAAATATGTGTGTATAAATAAACACACATACACATAATTAAATATAATATATTTTAAGTACACATATAAATAAATATTAACTTATCAAAATTTATATTAATTAGAAAATATTGTTAAAAATAAATAATTTGTGATGATAAGCGTTGGGTTTTTTTGCGATGTTAAAAATAATTAAATTTTTTTGTTTTTTACTTTAAAGAATAGAGCAACTTTTAATAACCTTACAAAGTAAAACTTACGTTAATTCTTTAATAAGAATTTACTCACAATCTAAAGCATTTTAGCGTGATTTCTATGGCATAATATTTCGGTATGTACTTTATGTAGGGTATTATATGAGAATTATAAGTCTGCCTTATTCATTGAAATTAACAAAATTTAAATATGAAACAAAAATCAGTATAAACGCGAATCCTAACAGCTTTGACTACTTTTAGAAAAATGTTTTTAAAAGTAAAAGAGTACATATTTATTTTAGCATTAATTGGTTATCTTAAATTGGCCAAAACAGAAGATAATACAAATGTGGATGTTAAAGAGAATCACAAAGAATTCTATAAACAAATATTAACTCTCAAGGAAATTGTGGCAGAACTGGATAGGGAAGTTGAACAATTGCTTAAAGGGTAAGTTTTCGAAATTCTCATGATACCTGAAGGAATATATATAAATATGTATATTTTCTCGCCCTAGTTTTAATCAACAAGCGGATATTATATTTGGTGACTCGCCCAACAACGCCTCAGATAAAACAGAATTTATCCCTGAAATTCCAATTAATCAAAGTGAAAAAATACAAGAATTTTACACTGATTTCAATAGCAAATTATTAAATTTAAACAATGACACAGAAAATTTACTTAATATCAATGACAATTTATTTTGGAACAAAACTCAAACCATATACCAAATAATTGAAGCTGCAACAAAATGTCCTATTAATAGAAATGAAAATATTTCTTCTGATATTCAATATAGGATAACTAATATTTTAGAAAAATTGGACAAACATATTACACGTTGTGATATTTTAAAAGAGAAAATAGAGAATCTGAACAAGCAAGAAGAAGTTCTGGTGAAAAACTCTGAAAATTTGTCCAGCATTTTGGCTGAAATTAATGCTAAATTAGATTCACAGAATCAATATTTTGAAAATTTAGAAAAACAACTGCCCATAATACAAGAAGCTAGTAAAACTTTAGATGACTATATCATTCGTAAAAACGAACATGAAAGTTATCGTCAGAGATGTTGGGAAACAGGAAATTGTCGTCATGGTCATCATAGAGGTCAACATTATCGCCATTCTCATCATTATGTTAAGAAATTTTGAAATATTAAATGAAATTTTATATCTTATCATATTGTATGCAAATACAGTGAAGTTGAGAGAAATAATTGAACGATTTCAACCCTTTTCAATAGCGTTCGTCCGTGGACGAATTTCATCAAATTATCTAAAAAATTGCGACCTGTAGCGTGCGCACACGGTTTATATGAACACACAGACAGACGGATGGACGGACGGATGGACGGACATAGTTTAATCAACTCAGGAAGTTATTCTGAGAAGATTGGTATCTAATCATATTGTATGTAAATACAGTGAAGTTGAGAAAAATAATTGAACGATTTCAATAATTTTCAGTAGCGTTCGTCCATGGACGAATTTCATCAAATTATCTAAAAAATTGCGACCTGTAGCGTGCGCACACGGTTTATATGAACACACAGACAGACGGATGGACGGACGGATGGACGGACATAGTTTAATCAACTCAGGAAGTTATTCTGAGAAGATTGGTATCTAATCATATTGTATGTAAATACAGTGAAGTTGAGAAAAATAATTGAACGATTTCAATAATTTTCAGTAGCGTTCGTCCTTGGATGAATTTTATGAAATTATCTAAAAAATTGCGACCTGTAGCGTGCGCACACGGTTTATATGAACACACAGACATACAGATAGACGGACGGATGGACGGACGGACGGACATAGTTTAATTAACTCAGGAAGTTATTCTAAGAAGATTGGTATCTAATCATTTTGCATGTAAATACAGTGAAATTGAGAGAAATAATTGAACTATTCCAACCTTTTTCAATAGCGTTTATCCTTGGACGAATTTCATCAAATTATCTAAAAAAATGCGACCTATAGCGTGCGCACACGGTTTACATAAACACACAGACAGACAGATAGACGGACGGATGGATGGACGGACGGACGGACATAGTTTAATTAACTCAGGAAGTTATTCTAAGAAGATTGGTATCTAATCATTTTGCATGTAAATACAGTGAAATTGAGAGAAATAATTGAACTATTCCAACCTTTTTCAATAGCGTTCGTCCATGGACGAATTTCATCAAATTATCTAAAAAATTGCGACCTGTAGCGTGCGCACACGGTTTATATGAACACACAGACAGACAGATAGACGGACGGATGGACGGACGGATGGACGGACGGACATAGTTTAATCAACTCAGGAAGTGATTCTAAGAAGATTGGTATCTAATCATTTTGTATGTAAATACAGTGAAATTGAGAGAAATAATTGAACTATTCCAACCTTTTTCAATAGCGTTCATCCTTGGACTAATTTCATCAAATTATCTAAAAAATTGCGACATGTAGCGTGCGCACACGGTTTACATGAACACACAGACAGACAGATAGACGGACGGACGGATGGACGGACATAGTTTAATCAACTCAGGAAGTGATTCTAAGAAGAATGGTATACTTTAAGATGGGTGTAGAATCAATATTTTCGGGTGTCACAAATGCACTATTGTGCTGTAGGGTATAAATATTTCACAAACACTAAAATAAAACAAATCTTAACTATTTACAATTTTTATTTTCATATAACCAACAACTTATTTAAATGATTCCTATTGTCTGGGTATATGTCGGTGTCCCCAGTGTCTCCAGTTTGCTAGATTATTTATTTTATTCGAAAAATTATTTATATCCGGCAACTCTCTTTGATATTTTACAAATTGTTCTTCATTTTTCAATAATTTATCTTTGATTTTCGTTAATAATTTCATTTGATTTTCATTAAATTCAGCAAATTTCTTTTGCTGTAATGTAAGTTTTTCTTCCAAAAATTCAAATTGACTTAATTGTTCTTCAAATTTATTGATTTTAATATCAATTTCAGTTAAAAAATTTTCCGTAGATGTTGCTATTAATTGAGGATTTTCAAGCTGGCATTCATTCTCAACATTACGATGGTTTAAAATTGCATCTAAATGTTGACTCTGATTTCTATGACTGTCTGCTAATTTTATTAGAAGTTTATCATTAAACTGGGCATATTTGCTTAGAGTTTCATTAGAGTAAAATATTATTTCTTCGCACATATCTTCACTATTTAGCAAGGGTTCAATGCCAGTGTCAGTTTTATGACATGTGGCAACTACATCTTTCAAGCCATTGATCTGTTGCAAATGTCTGTAAATTTGTTAAAACTATAAAATATTAATCAAAATTTTAATACTCATACATATATACCTTTTATTTAAAATATCCACAGATTCTTTTAAATGTTCGAGTCTCTCTTTTGTATCTAATACATCGGCAAATAATTTATTTTGCAATAAAGTAAATTCATTTGTTAAAATTTCATCACTTTTAACAAAATATATATTAGAAATGATAGTTAAATAAATTATTTGGAATTTCATCATGGGGAATATATATTTTTAAAGGTTACAAGTAGAATTTAAAATTGATACTAATCATCTGAATATAATACTTTTTTATATATGATTGTTGGCAGTATTTAATTGATAATGATGTTTTTTTTTTATGAAACACATTTGTTCCAATGAAATTTCAGAGATTAAATAAATATCAGGTATACATACACATACTACACATACTACAGAGAGGGAAAAGGTAATACATATACACGCCTGATACCAATTTGACACCAAAGAGTTTATAATTTTTCAATAACATCCGTTGTCAAAGTATATAAATACGTAGGACAACACTATGTTCACAACGTTGCGTTGTCAACATTGCAACAATTCGTTGTCGAAATCAAAATTTTATACACATCCGTTGTCTAAATGTTAACAAACATGGTAAGCTCACTATTAGCAACTATTGTCAATAGTGAGCTTTCCACACTTGTTAACATTTAGACAACAGATGTGTATAACATTTAGATTTCGACAACGAATTGTTGCAATGTTGTCAACATTACATAGTGTTGTCGTACGTATGTATGTACTTTGACAACGGATGGTATTGAAAAATTATAAACAGTTTGGTGTCAATTTGGTACCAGGCGTGTATATTTCCTTTTCCCTCTGTGTTTGGGACTTATTCATAATCATTTATTAAAGATTTATAGAAAAAATGGTCTACGAAAACTTGTGTGTCTTTGTAAACCTTTCCCGTATTTAAACCCGTCTCTAAAATCTATCCTCTTACACAGTGCTTCAAGTAATTTTATAGTTGGTTATTTTATAGTACAATTTGGAATAGTTTTTACATAGAAACTATGGTTTAAACCACTTACTTCTTGTTTATTGGAGAGACGATCTAGCCATGTCCGTCCATCCGTCTGTCTGTTGAAAGTACGATAGAGGCCATACAATAGTAGCTAGAGGGATACAAGTGTTGCAGAATTATTCTTTATGATCGACTCATAATTCCTCCTACTCTGCATACAAGATCCCATTTAGAAAACATGTAAGAAAGTATAGTCGGGCGTGGCCCTACACCATTTATGAATATTATATGTGATTTATTTTTCATAATAAAGCATTTATCTTCAATATTCCATTGTTCCGATACATTTAAGCAATTTATGGATGAAAAACTAATTTTCTGAAAGAGGCTTTATATGGGGGCTAGGGGCAAATATGGACCAAGCCCGATAAAATTTTGTGAATATATTTATATTTATATAATATTTTATTGTGCTGAATTTCATCGCGATATTTGTGTTTATAAGTTAATTTGGGACATTCAAGTAATTTTCTGAAGGGGACTTTGTATGGGAGCTAGGGTCAAATGGCAGGGTCACCAAGACTTCTATAAAACTTAGTTGTGCCGTATTTTATCGATATATCTATATATTTTACATAATTATGAGCTCAGAAGCCCTTTTCGGGGGGTTCTGTTCTATGGGGGCTAGGTGAAATAATAGACCGATTTCAACCATTTTCAACAGGCTTCGTCCTTGGGTCAAATAAAACGTGCGTGCCAAATTTCATCCAATTATCTTGAAAATTGCGACCTGTACCTTGCGCACAAGGTTTACATGGACAGCCAGCCAGACGGACGGACGGACATCGCTTAATCGACTCAGAAAACGATTCTAAGCCGATTGGTATACTTTAAGGTGGGTCTAGGACGAATATTTTTGTATGTTACAAACATCAGCACAAATCTAATATACCCTCCCCACTAAAATGGTGTAGGGTATAATTACTAACGCTCAGACAATCTAGCCATGTCCGTCCATCTGCCTGTTGAAAGCACGATAGAGGCCACACACAGAAGGAGCTAGGGGGATACATAGACTCATAATTACCTCTACTCTGCATGTAAGGTCTCCTTTAGAAAATTACCGATGCTCATCATTATAAGAAAGAAATTTGGTAAGGATCGGTTGATAATTGTCTCTATCCCCCGAAAACCACATCATGTCTTATAATTGGCTAAAAATGCAGAAATAGTGATGAATCTCACTACCAAATTTTGCGAGGATGGGTCCATAATGACACCTGCTCCTCATACAAAGTCACCATCAGGAAATGACTTTTAACCTTTTAACTGACCAGTAGAAACAAGTTTTATCTATACATATAAAATGAATGTGTGTTTGTTTGTATGTTTGAACGTTATAGACTACTAAACTGCTGAACCGATTTTCTTCAAATTTTCAGAGCGATTCCTGTATGTCTGGAATAGGTAATATTTTGAAATTCCAAGTGGGCGAGGAGCCACGCCCATATCAAGAAAATATTAAATCCGTATATTTGAGATCATATAACAGTAAGAGTCCTCAAATTTTGTCGGAGCAACTTTAGTATCAATATGATTATTTAGGACAAAAAGTAGACGGAATAGTATTAGGGGGCGTGGCACCTCCCATATAAATTAAATACAAAAATTCGCTTATCTTGGAAACTATTATAGTTAGAATCTTCAAATTTTGAACGAATAACTTTTACATCCATTTAAACATTTTGGGTAATAAATTGGCGGACTACCCATGAGGGGAGCTGCACCTCCCATATTAATAAAATACAAAAATTCTTTTATTTGGGAAACTAATGGAATTAAATTCTTCAAATTTTGCACGAAGGACTTAAATATTCATCTGAACATTTTGGAGAAAAAAACGGACTTTCATCTCGGCGGTGGGGGGTCTGGATGACCCCATATGAATTAAATAGGAAAATTCGTATATCTGAGAAACTATTAGACCTAGAATCTTCAAATTTTACTTGAAGAATCTTGACATTCATCTGAACATTTAGAGTATAACGGGCGAAATTGGCACCTCCCATAAAAAGTTGCACGAATAACTTTTACATCCATTTAAACATTTTGGGTAATAAATTGGCGGACTACCCATGAGAGGAGCGGCACCTCCCATATTAATTAAATACAAAAATCATTTATCTGGGAAACTAATGGATCTAAAAATGGATCTTCAAATTTTGCACGAAGAACTTAAATATTCATCTGAACATTTTGGTGGAAAAAAACGGACTTTCACCTGGGGGGGGGGGGGGGTTCTGGAAGCCCCCATATGAATTAAATAGGAAAATTTGTATATCTGAGAAACTATTAAACCTAAAATCTTCAAATTTTACTTGAACAATCTTGACATTCATCTGAACATTTAGAGTATAACGGGCGGACTTTTAATGGGGAACTTGGCACCTCCCATATAAATTAAATATAAAATTTCGTTTATCTGGGAAACTAATAGAACTTGATTCTTAAAATTTTGCACAAATTACTTTAATATTCATCTGAATATTTTGGAGGAAAAAGTACGGACTTTCATCTGGGGAGCTTGAAGCCCCCACATGAATCAAATAGAATAATTCGTATGTCGTATATCTTCAAATTTTACATGAAGAACTTTGACATTCATGTGAACATTTAGAGCATAATGGGCGGACTTTCAATGGGTGGCTTGGCATAATATGTATATATAATTGATAAATAAAGCTATCGTGATCAAATTCGACTTGATTATGTTTTGTGTATTTGTGGGATCAAATAAATGTGAAGACCTTCTGAAATTCACTTTAAATTTACGAAACATTATTTGATAATGGACATATAGGATTCGGCAAAGCGAAATATATTGATCTTACTTGTTCTTTCTGAGTGTGAATGCCATTTGCAAGAATATTCGTTATCATTATTATTTATTTTAGAAACAAACGAGCGTATTTAGAAGATTTAAAATACATATTTTATTCTTATTTCTATATACATACATACACACATAAATATATAATAATAAACTTGATTATTATTTTTTTTGTCTTATGAAACCAACAAAAATTATTTCAATGATGTTATATTGGCAGAACTTAAACCTAAAATCACTTCCATGGGCAATTTGGGACGTGGACTCGATATGACTTTATTAACATTATTTTTTAATTCTTTGAGACTGGTCAATTCTTGACCAAACTTATCAAATTGCTGTTGATTTTTAGATAATTTCTCATTGATTTCCTGTAAAATTTTCATTTGATTATCTACAAATTTGTCAAATTTGCTTTGCTGTAAATTCAATTGTGTCTCGAATGTTTCCAATTTCGCAAACTTTTCCTCAAACGTATTCATTTTTTCACTCAGTTCCGTTAGTGTCTCAGACATTAGAGACACAGCTGTTGAGCTATCACCTCTAGAGCCACAATTTCTATTTGATTTTTGCTTCAACAATATCTCATCTAAACGTGTACCCTGCTCATCTTGTATCTCATCCAGTTTTGTTATGATACGACTTTCGAAGGCATTATACTTTCTAAAGGTGGCATTAAACATGCCCGTGATTGTATCACAAACATCATCTTTTTCATTAGAATCCTCTAACAGAAATTTGGTTTGCAAACTTTTGAGAATTTCCATTTGATTGGTGTATCTGAAAATGCAATTAATTTAGTAAATATAAAACACTTTAAGATTTTACAAATTCCAGACCTTTTACTTAAGACTTCTACGGATATTTGTAGATTATCTACTCCTTCCTTTAGAAGAAAAACATCGGCAAATAATTGATTGCGCAGTTTTAATTCGTCCGGTTGAGCTTCATTTGCTCTTGCTGCATTTGTATTTAAGGTCAATATAAGACCCACAATTAGTATTAAAAAAGATTTCATTATTTTTATTTATTTTATTGCGTTCACTGGTTTGAAATGTTTGCCTGCATTCGTACAATTTTATACTGATCATAGTTGATTGACAAGACTTGGATGCTTTAAAAAATAAAGAAAATATTTTTATTTGTTTTTATACCCACCATCAAAAAAGGGGGTATATTGTTTTTGTCATTATGTTTGTGACACATCGAAATATTCTTCTAAGACCCATAAAAGTATATATATACTGGGTCCTTATTAGATTCTAAGACGATCTAGCCATGTCCGTCCGTCTGCCCGTCTGTCTGTCCGCCTGTTGAAAACACGATAGAGTCCAAACGGAATCAGCTAGCGAGCTGAAATTTTGCACAAATATTTTATATTGATGCAGTTTGTTTGGTATTGGCAATATCGGTGCACGATTTCGCCTAGCCCCCATATAAAGTCCCCTTCAGAAAATTACATTAACGGTCATAATTGACTAAAAGAAGCAGCTATTTTATATTTAACATATTTTATAGGAAACTTTATATCATTGTAAAATTTTATAAGGATCGGTCCATAATTGACCCTATCCCCCATATAAGGTCCCTCTCAGAAAATGACATTAACGGTCATAACTGACTAAAATAAGCAGCTATAACGATGAAATTCGACATAAACATATTTTATAGGAATCTTAATATCATTGTAAAATTTTATAAGGATCGGTCCATAATTGACCCTATCCCCCATATAAGGTCCCCTTCAGAAAAATATTTTAACGCTCAGAACTGTCCAAAAGAAGCATCTATAGCTATGAAATTCGACATAAACATATTTTATAGGAACCTTAATAGCTTTGTAAAATTTTATAAGGATCGGTCCATAATTGACCCTAGCCCTCATATAAGGTCCCCTTCAGAAAATAACTTTAACGCTCATATCTGTCCAAAAGAAGCATCTATAGCGATGAAATTCGACATGAACATATTTTATAGAAACCTAAATCGCTTTGTAAAATTTTATATGGTTCGGTCCATAATTGACCCTAGCCCTCATATAAGGTCCCCTTCAGAAAATAACTTTAACGCTCATATCTGTCCAAAAGAAGCATCTATAGCGATGAAATTCGACATGAACATATTTTATAGAAACCTCAATCGCTTTGTAAAATTTTATATGGTTCGGTCCATAATTGACCCTACCCCATATATAAGGTCCCCTTCAGAAAAAGACTTTAACGCTCAGAACGGTCTAAAATAAGCATCTATAGCATATATAGAAACGTTGATATCATAGTAAAATTGTATACGGATCGGTCTATAATTGACCCTACCCCTTCAGAAAATGGCTTTAAGGTTCATAATTGCCAAAAAGAAGCATCTATAGCGATGAAATTCGACATAAACTTATTCTATAGAAACCTAAATCGCTTTATAAAATTTTATAATGAACGGTCCATAATTGATCCTACCCCCATATAAGGTCCCCTTCGGAAAATGGCTTTAACGCTCATTATTAGCCTAAACTAAAATCGTTCTGGAAAATTTGACGAGGTTCGGTCCCCCCTAAATAAGGTCCCTCTCAGGAAATAATTTTAACGCTTTTTACTACCTTAAAAATACAAGGACAGCGACCAAATTCGACAAAAATTTCTCTATACATAGATGTAATAAATGAGAAAATTGTTTTGATAATAACAAAAGCATCGATTCTTAAATATCAAAGATTATTTATAAGGAAGCATTCCTTTTTGGCAATGATTTGATGGTAGGTATACAAGATTCGGCACAGCCGAATATAACACTCTTACTTGTTATATTTTTCATTTTCAAGCGATGTCTGGCATATTTAAAACTTAAGATTGTTTGTAACATGAAACTATTATCAACCAAACTCTCAACAAATAACGAAAATTGCTTGAGAATCGGAACTTGCTTCTAAATATATCTCTTAAATCTTCTTCCTAATCTTAAATGTATTTGTATTTAAGATTTGAATTGATATTTAGAACTTATAAGTCATTAACACAGATTTACTTATACACAGAGGGAAAAAGAAATATACACGCCTGGTACCAAATTGACACCAAACTGTTTATAATTTTTCAATACCATCCGTTGTCAAAGTATATATGTACATACGTACGACAACACTGTGTAATGTTGACAACATTGCAAAAATTCGTTGTCGAAATCTTAATTTTATACACATCCGTTGTCTAAATGTTAACAAACGTGGTAAGCTCACTATTGACAAACAATTCATTGCCAATAGTGAGCTTACCACGTTTATTAACATTAAGACAACGGATGTGTATAAAATTTAGGTTTCGACAACGAATTGTTGCAATATTGACAACGTTGCATTCAACATTACATAGTGTCAATTTGGTACCAGGCGTGTATATTTCCTTTTTCCCTCTGTGTAGTGCATATAAAATTCGTTGTAGTCTGAAATATATTTCGGGTATTTTTAATACATATTTACTGATAATTTAAAATGCTATATTATCAGACTAATCAACACACAAAAGCATATTTAAAAGAAAAATCCCCATTCAATTCTCGGAATGAATAAACATCATTATCAAAGCTCAGAGAATAATGGTGTAAAAAATACATACATATTTAATTTAAGAATCATTAAAAAGATGCTGCTACAATATGATATTGATATATTTTTAAAGGCCATCATGTTACAAGAAGAGACTTACCTAAATATAACTGCTTTATATCGTTGTTGTTGTTTTTTATGCTTTTATTTATAATTTGTTGAAAAAAATTTCAGACGTAGTCTCAGATTTTTGCTCATAACTCAGATATTTGTGCACCGATTTTGCTAAGATATTTGAGGTCTTCTGAAAACAGATTTTAACCAACATACAGACGGACAAACAGAAAGACCCACAGACAGACAGACACGAATGTCGAGAGTTTAACGTAAACACCTGCCTTGACGACCTTATATCACGGTGGTCTTTTTCACCCACTGGTTAGACTAGAGACGGTCTACCACGCGCCCCTGAATTCTTCAATGAATAACTCAGGTAGCAATTTTTGTACATGGCTGAGCCGGTCCATGTACAAGCACTTTGTTCAAGAACTCGAGCTATCTAATCTCTTGCCATAGTAGCCCCGTTGCGGAATGACAGGCAGCATGGGATCAATCCCAATGCAAACCCCGACAAAGAAAAAGCAATCACTGGTCTAAAGTCAATAGAAGGGGGTGACAAGTCCCAACATCAAGTGAAATCAATCTTCCGGTAAGCCGGAAGGTGACCACCTTTATGATGTCATGAAAGATTGCATTATTTAAAATGCAATCCCCATCATCTAATGACCCATTCCAGTGCATTCCTTAACCTCTTTAAGCCCACGCAACCACACTACTGAGATGGCACTGTTATTTCGGCAACAGCACCTAGAGACGTATTTAGTAGCCCGAAATATCCAGCCAATTAAGCAGGATCCCTCTGTATGTCAGATAATGTGACAAAGGATGTAGAAATTTCCAAAGTCAATTCGAACCCAATAATTGCCCCGACGAGTTGAGGGAACGGACCTCAACCATATATCGCGTAGCATGAAACAATATGAATCCTGTTGAGATGGCAACAGCACCGAGAACTTCTCTGAAGTAAAAGGTCTACTTAATTAGTACTAGTCTCCTGTGGAGGAAGGAGACTTTCCCGATCGTTCACCAATTACATCAGTTCCATTCTCAGATCATAAAGAACGATCTACGGAATGACAGGCAATTACCAAGTGTCAACCTGAAAATTCCCTAACCTATACTGGCGCCCTACTACGCGAAGAGTAAGAGATACTCAACGGGTTCAGGAATCCAGCATAAATGGCTTTGTCACATCACCCAGTGACATCTGTTGAGATGGCAACAGCACCGGAGAGAGAATCCAGACATATTTAGCATTTGGATATATCAGTCTTTAAACCAACATTCTCTCGCCGCGATTTGTGTTTCAACCACAGCCACTACGTGGATCCCGAAGGAACCTCAACCAATTGACCGGTCAGGACTAGGTCCTGTGGGCAACCGGCCACCCGTAGTGCCAGATTATGTGGTGCTCTGGTTAGACCCCATGCCAAATCATTTCGAGACGAAGCCAAGGATACATTTGACATCACCAGACTAGAGATACTGGTAGCATCTCTTTATCCCGGGATTGCAATACACCATGATGGACATTTCATTATGGAAACATGCCCCGGGGGGGAGACAGACAGACAGACAGACGGACTGACAGACATAACTTAATCGACTCGAACGTAATTTTTCGAGGTAGTCTGAAATTTTTACTTTTTACGCTGTAAAACGATTTTACTGATTTTCAATACCAAATTGCTTGGGACAAAAATTAATATTTTCGTTAAATTTGGATTATTTATCTTGTTCAGTTTTAACGTGAACATGTTTTATGTAGACAGACGGACAGATAGTCGGGCATAGCTAAATCGACTCAGAATTTCACAAGGATTCAGAATATACATATGCATATACTTTGTAAGATACATATGTATGTATGTATGTATACACATGTAAGATGACTATTTCTGGGTTTGAACCTAGTCCCCATACAAATTCCCCTTTCAGAAAATAACTTAAAGGTCAAAATTCACTTATAAACATTCATGTTTTATTTTAAAAATTTTGAATATTTTCATGAAAAATGTTCTTTTTCACAAAAATGTATTGCTTATTTAATATGTAAATGAAATAAGATAGAAAAATCCTTCAATAAAATAAAATCCTTCAATAAATTTTCGACATCTGCTACATTTGATTGACAGTTTAAAAGCCACACACAGGCTGATTTTCACAACTAGAATTTTTTTATAACATTTTCGTAAAAATTTGCAAAAGTAAATAAATTGTCTGATAAAATTTCAACTGTCAGTCATGTTATTTTAAATTTGATGTGCGTTTGCTTAAAGTATAAATGAATACTGTGGGATTTTGGTTTAAATTTATTAAACTTAACAATAGTTTGTAGTCAAAATTGGATGTTTTCAGTTAAATAAACTTTAAGTTTAATACCATTAAACTTTGCTTTTTCTTAAAACTCATATTTTCCTATGAAAAAGAAATTTCCTTTTTAGAAAACTA